ATCATCCAGGAAGTCGCTGTCTCTCCAGTCATAGCCAAGTGTAAATTCCGACCGATCATAGCAAGACCAGAGGGGAGTGATACAATAGGGTAGATGTTGGAGCGAACTGCGCTTGCAAAAACAATCCTCATGACAATTGCTGTCTGCGGCTGCCTTGATGGTGATCAGAGCCCACGGCAAAGGTCTCACTCATTTTCACCAACGCGCGCAGCCAGTCTGTCTGGTCGTCTGCGGTTGGCTGGACAATACACAGGGCGTCGATCCATAGGACTTCATCCTTCAAAGCTATCGTTATGGATATCGCTCGTCTGAAGGTCATTGAGAATCTGGTAGTTGATATCCCATTCTCGTATTCATCAAGGTTCGATTTGGCCAGTTGCACCGGTATACCACCCCATTGATGACTTAGTGTCACGTAGGGCTCTTGAAAGTCATCTGGTACGGCAACGATGCGAACTCGGCTGTAGTCCAGGGAGTCCGAAACGTCAAGGGGATGCCCGAGGGTGGCTGAATGTTTGTATTGTTCCTACACGAGTTTGCATGTTTTATGAAGCGTTTTGCAACAGAGCTCCAATACTTCAAGAGCCGAACGATCCCTAATACCAAGTGTTCGTCTGGAGCGGAAAGGCAAGGGCCAAGTCCGAATTCACTGATAATGTCTTTTCATGCCGGGTTTGAGGAATTATGGAAGTCTGCAGGCCCGGCAAATAGAAGATCCGTCAAGTTCTCTAGCCCAAATCCACAATGTAGTGTAACGCGTGCCCTGTACAATGCGCTGATCGACGACAACCCAAACTGCCACCGCTCTTTATAAAGGGGCAGAAGTTTTTTCCCCTTATCTACCTTGCTTTTGCACTTGGTGAGGGGACCCTAGAATGATGTTGCAAGGTGACAGCCTTCCTCTGCGGAGCGTGAGAGTAGCTGATATATAAGCATGGTGGATGCGCGCCCTTTCAGCGACCTTCCAGATGGAGCGGTTCTTCTCTGTAAAAGGAACCCATTCCACATTCGAATCATGACATTGACATAACTTACACAGCCGCTTTAGTTCTGGAGCTTCCAATCAGCCATGATCAAGTGCTAGAATGTTCGGGTTCAGCTATCGTGAAAGGCATCAAGCCGATGAGATGTGCGAAGGCGAGAGGAGCGTGAGTCGTGTTGGTTGCTATGATAACAGCGGCTTGGCGGCAAGGGCGGCACGTGAGCTTCGAGCACTTTTTATGCATCTTTTGCTGCCAGGACCGAGCGGCGCCAGCGGCGCTCGATGGGGCAACTGCGCCGAGAACCAGCCTCCTGATGCTCTCCGTTAGGCACCCGGCCCCCCAAGGGCACCCAGGAGTCCCTTGGCTGCCCTGTCCTGGGTCCCCCCCCCTCAACCGCAGGCCACAGGCCACAGGCCAGAGGGCACCTGTGATACGGCAAATGAGTAGCTAGAAAAGCGCGGGCGCAACTGGCTACGGGAGACGATCGACTTCGTCACTCTTGCCTTCGATCCATCAGCCAGGTGGTCAGTCTTGGTCAGTTTCTCTGTTCTACCTGTTCAGATATCTTGACATGCCACTCTACCCACTTGCACATCGCTGCTAGTCTTACCTCCTCCCTTCTCCCAACCGCCCTCAGGAATCATCAACGCTTGACTTTCATCGCTTCCTGCGTATCTCTGGTAGATCGATTATCGAGCCGACTGTCTTGTCTCGAGCTCCGCTGTCTGGTCTGAGCTTCGCCGCTCTCACCTATCACAATTACAAATCCACCGAACTGAAAAACCCTTGCCTGCGCGGCTTCCCAACAATGGCCGACGCTGCTGGCGCTGAAGATGCCACCGTCACCTTCCACGTCAAATCCTCGGGCGCCCAGAAATGGACGCTGACCCTGCCTCTGTCAACCACGACCATCGAGCTGAAGAACAAACTCGCCTCAGAAGAATACGCCAATGTCCCAGCATCGGCTCAGCGGCTGATTTACAGCGGAAAGGTGCTGAAAGACAATGACACCCTGGCCTCTCATAACGTGAAAGAAGGCAACACCATGCATCTAGTTAAGAGCGCCGCTAGCAATCAAAGACAGAACCCCGCCACACAATCTTCTTCGACCTCCACTCCTTCTTCGGGGACCGCATCGCAAGGCGCCACGGGGGTACCTCAAAACCTGGCATCAGGCACTGGGAATGATCCTCTGGCGGGTTTGACGGGTGCCCGGTATGCGGGATTTGCACAGCTGCCAAACGCTAGCATGTTCCAAGAAAACCTCACGCCCGAAGACTTTCTGCGCCAGTTGGATAACCCCCACTTCCAGCAGATGATGCGTGAAGCCATGGGCAATCCCCAGGTCCAAGACATGATCATCAATCAGAACCCGCACCTCAGAGCGATGGGACCCCAGGCGAGACAAATGCTCAATTCTGACTACTTCAGATCCATGATGACGAACCCTCAAATGCTTCGCGACATGATGCAAATGCAGCAACAGATGGGGTTAGGTCCTTTCGGCGGCGCGGGCAGAGAAGGGGCCTTTCCAGCACCCGGTGTCACCAACACCACGGAACAGGGTACGGCTGGCGGCAGCCCTCAAAATGTACCATCCAACCCGTTGGGACTACCCTTCCAAAATCAGCCCGGTCAGCCTCCCCGGGGGGATCAGCTGCTCGCCCTTCTGCAGTCATTGAGACAGACGACTCGAAGCCTTTCTGATGCATTTGGCGATCTCAATACCAATGCGACAGGAGCCCGAAATGCAGAAGCCGGATCCAACAACCAAGAAGCTAGTGGTCAACAACCGCAAATGCCCGGGAATACACCATCCCAGACGCAGCAGCCGGCGAACCCGTTCGCGGCACTGTTTTTGCCGCAAGGTCCCACAACTTCACCTGGTGGGCTCAACCAGTTGAGAGATGAGAACAACCCGTTTACTCAAAATCCAGCGCTCATGCAACAAATCCTACAAGAAATGTGGGCTAACGAAGGTGGCGGAGATATGGATAATGGCGGGCTGTTGAATCTACTCGGTGCAGGCCGGCCAATGTCACCACCGGACAACCGACCGCCTGAGGAGCGATATGCGCAGCAACTGCAGCAATTGAACGAGATGGGTTTCTATGATTTCGACCGGAATGTTCAGGCACTGCGAAGAACTGGGGGCAATGTGAACGGCGCAATAGAATACCTGCTCAGTCACCCAGCAGACTAGCATTGTGAGGGAGTATGATTTCCAGGATTTGTGATGATAGCATGGCGAAACACCTGCAACATGCGCAAACGATATCATTTGATGAGCGGCCTAGCTCGACATGTACAATGGATGCACTCTACAAGCAGGTGCTCTCTCGCATCATCTTGTGGTTCTAGCTGTTGTTTCTTGCATCGTCCCTCAGAATGCCGTGCTCGGGCCCAAGTCCTTCCTGGGAGCTATCAGGATTCTTTTTCCCGCTGAAGGTCGAAGACTGAGCTGATCGAAAAGTCTGGCCGGCCACCGCATCTCCACTTGCCCTGGCATTCATCTAGCGTCGCTTGAGCGAACTTGCAGAGGGCATGAGCATGGCCGATTGTAGGCAGCTGCTGTGCAATGGCATCAATGGCACTAATGACAGGTGCATTACCACCTTCGCTGATCCTGCTTCAACCCAAGGCCAGATCCACGCATAACTTCCTTCGCCCCTTTGCATCCACTTCGATGCCCCTTACTAACGCCACATCTAACAGACGTCCGACTCCCTGACACTTCAATGCACTTTGGACGAAGGGTCCGCAGCAGGCCTCTGCTCTCTGCAACAGCTCTTGACCGCTCTGGCCGCTCACAGCATTCTGTGTGAGTTTGCCAACATACAAATCCACTCTCACACGCTTGATCCACCTGCGATGTTGGGACTGGATGCCCAAGAACAAACTCTCCATGCAGAGCCCGTTACACACAATGAATAGCTTTGGCGGGGTGAGCAGCGGCCGAACTTCGTCGTGGATCTGGCGGCATGCCCTCAGGAGGCGGTTGTCGCAGCACATGTGAACGTCGAAGCCTTCAGAGCATCCGCCAGGGTGATTGAAGTTGCACATGCCGGGTTTCGAGGGACATTGGCAAGGCTCCACTTCAGTTGGACCGAGAACAAGGCGCCATATCTGCAGGCGCAGCTCGTACGGGAGAGTGAGAAGAGGAGAGATCATGATGTGAACGAGACTGGAGAGACAGCAGAGGATTGTGTGGTGGTCTGGTAGGGAATGAGCATCTTAGGTACTATATGACGCCAAGGGAGGTCTTATAAGCCCTGCTTCATCCGTTCCCTGTGTCAAGCAGGAGGAACGCACTCGCCACCGATCTTTTTTGCTGTTGGTTGATATCGATTCCCAACATCCATCATACGCGTACTACTCCCTATTCGCCCAGAAAGGCATTCGATGCGTCCTCGCCTGAGATCCATTGCTACGCTTAATCAGCCCTGAGAACGCAGATTCGCCGAATTCGGGGGCGCATACCGATAACAGCGGGACAGGTCAGCCGGAGTACGTGTGATGAGCTATCCAGAGCAGCCTCGTTGACGTAGGATGACTGATTCCAGGATTACTCACGGCATATTACAGGGAAACCAAGCTCCATCCAGTAATGGCTGGCTTGCGCAAGTCGTCTGTTTCTCTACAAAGCAACGGCCCAGGCGAGCCTTGTGGATGAGGAGTTTCGAGGGTCAATTATCTATATAGCAGACTTTCTTCTACTCCGTCCATACCTAGCAGCTGATGTAGAAAACTGCAACCTTTTGTCCTCGGCCCATCATTGTCATGTATGGGTCATATGTAGCGGTCAATGCGCACTAGTAGTAGTTGATAGTTCGCGATCCTCGGCTAATCCATAACTGTCTGATTCTCTGTCTTGTCTTTCTCGTTCCCGCTACTCGTACAATTTTCCTGGCTGTCTGCTTCGATGCTTTTTCTATTGTCTTACACATATAGCTATTTCCCCCGTCCTCCTCATAGCCGTCCTGATTCAAATCCGAGACCCATCTAGGGTATCCCAACATGAAATCCAAATCCCACCATATTTTGACATCTGCTCAATGGCCTCGTCCGTGTCTCTCAGCTGTTCAGGCTCGCTCTGCCCTGGTGCCCAGAGCTTTTAGCATCCGACGTCCCACGACGGGCCAGACACAGCCGCTTTCCCCTTGGTCTAAAGTCCCATTGGCTGTCTCTCGTGGATATACAAGCACGAGACTCAACAGCGAGTTCTACGGGGGCGAGAAGGGTGGCCGCATACGGTGCGACGAGGTGGCGGTGGGTGAGAGCGGCCACAGAATCGCAAAAGTGTACATTCAAAACAAGGAACGTGGCAATTCCATGAATACGCAACTGCTTCCGGCTCTTACGACGGCGTTCCGCCAACTGGCTTCAAAGAAGGATATCAGGTGCATTGTTCTCGGCAGCGACACTCAATCTCACTCGTTCTGTACCGGTATGGTGAGTAAATCGCCTTCGAATATCTACCTAGGGTAGAATTTGGTATTCTGTTTCGGTTCCAGCGGAATTGAAGCAAATGAGATGCGGGGACAACAATTGGCTGACACATGTGGGATATTTTTTTCCCCGAGGAAATACAGGACATCGCCGAAATGGCCAAGCTGGAAACCCCTGAGCAAGCTGAGAGCCTCATTACCAAGGTCTACGACGCGTGTCAAGCGATCCGCGAGTCCGACGTCGTCACCATCGCGCACATAGAAGGCCCGGTATTCGGTGCGGGTCTGGAGCTCGTTGCGTCGTGTGATTTTCGACATGCGACCGACACCGCTCGCTTCGCCATGCCCGAGGTCGAATTAGGGATCCCGTCTGTGGTGCAGGCGAGACTGCTGGCGAACATCATCGGGTGGCAGAAGACCAAGTATCTCGTCTACACCGGCGCCACCATCGACGCGCAGACGGCGGCAGATTGGGGACTCGTGGACGTTCTTTGCCCTTCGTCCGAGCTGGCTCTCGCGCAGACCATGCGCGCGGCGTCGAAGATTGCGGAAAACGGGCCCGAAGCCATGAAGGCCCAGAAACGCCTGGTGCGGCTGTGGGAGGAGCAGGATCTGGCCTCGGGCGTGACGGCGGGCATCGAGTCCTTTTCCGGCATGTTCAGGGACGGGGCGGTCGAGCCCAAGGAGTACATGCGAAGCTTCTTCGAGAAACGGGCCGCGCTCAAAAGGCAAGCAGCTGCCGCCCGACCTCAAGTAGAGGGAAGTGAAGATTGAGCGCAGTGATCAAAATAAAACTCGAGATGGGGTCCAGACGACGTATTTGTCTAAGGAGGCGGAGGAGGAGTTGCGCCGAGCAGGACATCTGGTTTTGAAGAAAAGAAAAAGAAAAATGGGAGAGGGACGGCCGGGCGAAACACACGGTGATTATGAACAGGCGAAAATTATCCGTGGCATCCATGCGGCGTCGCTTTGAGTTCTCCAAGGGTTAGTTTTGAGTCGGGTCACTATCTTTTGCGCGGGACCAATGGAAAGCGCACCCTGGATTCTGTCATGGCCCCTCTACAAGCGGGAAACGGGGGTCATCCGGGTCAGCAAATGTCATTCTGTGCAACCAGGAAAGGCTCCTCGATGATGCGCAGCACACCGCAGCCAACGGGGAGGCATTGGGAAGATGACATCTTGTGGTCCTGGGAAGGAGAGTCCCTGAACCTTTAAACCCACGACGTCGAGATATGGGGGTTTCAGACGACACAAGACAACGTGAACATATTGGGGAATACGGCCATTCCTGAGCCAAGGGGATCTGTATTCTCATCCGACTGGCATTACGTGTCTGTCTGTCCCCAGCACCTCTTCTTGACTGAGGAGCAATCACAACCGACTCAATCCCGTCCTAGGTCGAATTGTCAGCACCCAGATACACACCCTTGCCATGGCGGCATGGCGCGGCGGGGGGAGGGCGTGGATATTACCTCTGCTGGGGACGGCGGGGACTCCATTCTCGAAATGAAGCTCAGCACTCACGAAGAACCGACAATGTCGCCCATGAGGAACAGAGGAGACTTGTTGCTGAAGTTGGGCACGTCGCCAAACACGGCCTGCGCCTCGTCGCTCTTCAGGGCCTTGCCGAGCCCGTCGGCCGACTCCCAGGTCAACAGGGCGGCGACGCTGTAGGGCTTGGAGCCGTCGGGCCCGGGGAGTAACTGGATGACCTTCCACGCCTGGAGGCCGTATTGGCTCCATTTCTCGGTGACCAGCGGCATGTGAGTTTTCAGGTAGTAGGGCATGTCGAAGGTGGCGCCCTCCTCGGCGGGATAGAGGACTGTAACGTTGACGGCCATTGTTGTTTCTTTTTGTTTTGTGTGTGTGCGTGTATTTCTCGAGGGGTGCGGAGTACTGAAGAGAGAGTGAGTGAGTGAGTGAGCGTGTGTGTGTGTGTGTGGGAGGGAAGCAGATGAGGTTTGGGCGGGACAGGAGACGCACGAAAGTAGATTCAATCTCCTTATCGCTCTGTTTGAAAGGAGGAAGAGGAGGAGTAGGAGGTGGTATTTATTGCCAACCGACCAAGCCCATCCATGTTCCTTCCCCTCCCTCTCGAGATTTCGGGCTCACGGGACGAGAACATTCGTTCTTAATTGGGACAGTCGTGGTGGTGGCCGTGATGAGGGGCTTGCTGTGGGATGGCACTCGGTCAGTCAGTCTTTCACAATGCTGCCAAGCCCGTATCGTAGTGCCTCGGTCTGGTCGTAATAATACGCATTAGGTACCGCCACATTCGAATCCGAATCTGAATCCTCGCTCACCCGATTCCCCGCACTACGCACCGCACCGTAGCTGGTCAATGCAGAAAACCCCGCCAACTGCCTCCTTGCTCCTCTTGCTTGTCCTCGTCCCTCTGGGCAGAGCTTGCCAGGGACATATTGGCATCGATTCGATCCTCTCTCTCTCTCTGTGTGTGAGTGTGTTCTCACTGGGCCGTTAAAGTCGGCAATCAGCCCAACTTCCCGCGGGTGGAAACCCCGCCGAACTCGCAGTTTGTGCCCATCCATCTCGATTCTCTTTATCCAGGGACGGAGTGCACCGTGGACCGATTCTGACGCCGACGGATGGGCTTGGATGGCTGCATGACGGCGTCGATCCGTCACTTACCTAGATACTACCGAGCTACATACAGGGTCCTCGCCTACGCCCTCCCTCATACAGACATGCCAACACATAGATACGCCCTCTTTCTCTCGCTGCCAGATTGAAACCGCCGCCCAAGTCTAGAGCGATCGTCATGGTCGAAGAAGACAGCTCGAGGGAAAAACAAAGACACGGGGAGAACTGGGATGTATGGGCTAGAGATCGAGATCAAGGTCAAGATCGAGGACAGGGACGAGGACTAGAACCAGCACCCCTTTGCGGTTTTGGGGGGGGCAAGGAGACTTACATCTCCTCAATTGTACGCATACCATCACTTATCAAATATGTCTTCTCTTCCCACTTCCTCTCGTACGGAGGAGTAGTCGTGTATCTTCTATGTACCCAGCTCAGGTCCCTCGCACGGGTATGAACAAATTTCTCATGCGTCTCTATCCACCTTGCAGAGTGGCTCGACTCGCAAGTCACTTCATTCCAACCCACGAGCCATGGCACCGATGACTTTCTGAAATAACTCTGCCGGCGGAGGCGCGTGTGCCGTCGACACAAACCTCAGGACCGCGTCAAGCCCTCCACCGGAGCCCGTCTGCCTGTTCACGGTGTCGTCGACGGCTTGATACGCCGGCTCGCCACGCACGGCAGTGGTGACTGATCCCAACAACGCTTTTCGGCCGAAAATACTGTCCAAACTCCGGGTGACTTGCTCTGTCCCCTCAGCTCCCCCAATCGTCCTCGCAAGCGTCACCACCTTCGGTCGAAGAAATCGGCACTGATTTCGCTCATCAATGACTAAATACCCGGGTCCTGTGGCCAGAGCAAGAAGTCCCTTGACCGTTCCCGTGATGGAAGTCTGATCAACAACTTTCACCCGCACACCGGGGTCGACTCCACTGCCTGCAACAGCATCTCTGGGGCTGTCGTCGGGGGAAAGGCTCAACACCACCAGCTTCGTTCCCCTCGGCTTTTCGGAACGTGAAAGAGATATCGCGACTGTCCCATCGAATTTATTTCTTGCGATGTAGGAGGGGGTCCAGCTGTTTGGTGCCACATACTCCGGGTCGAGCTCCATGGGCGACACGACCAGTTGGTTCGTGATGGTGTCCAGGACTGTCAGTGCTTGTGACAGGCAGATAAGGTAGCGGGAATGGAAGAGGAGTTTGGCGGGGCGGCTGGAACGAGGGAGAAGGGAGGGGTTAGATAAGACGATCCTCCCTGTTGTAGGGTCGATGAAGTGGACAAAGCGAGTTCGAGGCCATTTGAAAGTGGCAGTGGGAGATTCTGACAAGAGCCTGAACGAATTTTCAAGCCAGAACCATGCAACAGCCAGGATCGAGCCATCGTCGGAATAGGCCAGGCTGGCCGATGTTGCTCTTGCTTCGATGTCTCCCTGTTCAAGAGCAGCGTCATCGCTGCATTGAATCGTCCTTGAACTGCTCCAGGTGTACAGCTGCTCATTAGCCTTGTTCCTAACCGAAACGCCGTTCCGATGACGCTCTTTGGGCGTCCATATGCGAATATTCGCATCACTGCCAGTAGTAGCCAATTCGAGTTTCGCAGGGTTAAACGACACACTCAGCACGGAGTTTGGACCGGCTTTGTGAGGCTCGTCAATCCTGGTCACCTGCTCGAAGTTGCCGTCCTCATCATTCCACAACCACAATCTCAGACTCGTTTCGGTACATCGGCCACGGAGATCCGCACAATCGGAGCGGCTGTAAAAGCTTTCCAGATCCTGTGAGTGCCATTCATCGACTGTTGCTAACCATCTGCCGTCGTGGCTAATGGCGATATGCGTGACAGCGGGTTCTTTAACTGGTTGTCCGGTGGGCGCAACATTGGATGTGGTGATCATGTTTCGAGCGAGCGCTTGACGACTGAATTGGACGTTGGAATCGACATCGTAGATTTGTAGAAGTGTCGAACGACGCCCGTGAAACGGACCCGTCGCGGCGGCATCAGAAGGCACTGCGGCCAGGAGTCGATTTGGAACCTTTGGGTGTAAAAGAATTAGACTTGAGTTTTGCGGAGGCACCCCTAGCGCTAGGCCGCAGACATTTGTTGAGGGCAGCAGGTCAGCTGTCGACAGAATCATTACAGAATTGTCGCCCAGGCGAAGAGCATAGGAAGATCCAGCATTTGACACGGTGAGATTCAGGATTGGTGCTGACAGATGAGGCAAAAACTGATTCTGATTCGAGTCCAACTGCCAGATAACGAGCACCGTCTCGTTCCCACCCGATATGATATAGTTGCGATCTCGAGACCATTTCACAGTAGTGACGGCCGTCCGGTGCCAGTGGAGCTTGTGGCCCACAATGTCCTCCGTCCAAGTCTTGTTCTTTTTCTCTTTTCCGATGAGTTTGAAGAGGATGTCTTGATATTGCATGATAACTCCGTCGTTGAGACCGATCACAACATCCAAGAAGGGTACTTTTCGCGGGGTCTTGGATTTTCCTGAACTGACGTGGGCGTCAAAGCTGGTTATGAAACCTACGACTGTGATTTCCCTCCACGTGTAGGTCAAGTCCAACTGACCTTCTTCCGTGACTCGAGACTGACCTATCAACAGGTGGTCTTCCGCGCAAGCCATCAGCACGTTTCCTTGTGCGTAGGATCTGAAACAGGGTGATAGACCGGTCCTCTGCAACAGGGTGTGGGACTCTGTGAAGGTGCCTTGAAATGTGTTGACGGAACAAGCAACAAGACGTCTGTAGCCTTGAGGATCGTCTTGTAGAAGCAGAATCGTCTCATTCTCGTCTTGCTGACGCAACGGAAGGACTTGCTGTAATCCAGTCCCCGTGTCGTATTTACCTATCGCGGCAGCAGTTGTCCAATCCCAGAGAGACAAGAGACCTCTCGAACTGGAGACGTACAACTTCTTCGGGTCAGCCTTCGACAGAGAGCAGCTCGTTATGTGGGATCTGAGATCAACCCGGAAGCTCCTGACCAACAGAGACGTCTTGGTCGAATAGACTTGAATTTCAGAATGTGTCGCCAGGATCAGATATTGGTCATCAGCTGTGAGCAGAGGATCTTGGTCGATAAACATGCCTCCCTTGCGGGAAGATAATCTCCATTCGTTGCCGCTTAGCTTTGAATTTTGCGTCTTCGATTGCTCGACAGCTTTGAACTTTTGCTTGTTGTTTTTGGCCAGCTGCATCCCCTGTTTTGCCTTAACGAGCTGTTTTGGGTTCTCTTCTCTAACCAATTGGTCTGCCTTTTGGCCTTCGAAAGGCGCGGGACCCTTGTCGCCTCTTGTTTTAAGCGAGGTCGCATTGCGTTTCCTAGGTCTCTTTGACAACTTCACTGCTCTCCCCTCTGAAGCCAACTCGTTTACCAAAGGCCCCGAGTCCAAATTAGATCTTTCGAGTGGCGGTATGTGACTTTGTCCTGATTTCAACGGTGTTAACTTCTCTTTGTGATTTGCCGAGCCGGTCGTAGGGTCGTTCAGCTTTCCCTTTCCTCCGTTGTTCGACGCAGCATTAAGTCCCTTCAGCTTCCTTGACGGCTGTCCCTTTTTCTGCGGTGGAGTTCGTCCTTTGGCCGGACTCTCCGCGGATGTCTGCTCATTTGACTCGCCATCGCTGGAAGTCCTAGGTCCCAACCTGACGGCGTCGTTGTTTTTTGAAACGGATTTTGGAGAGACACTGGGAGTGTTCGTTTTCCCTTGAGCGGGTGTCGGCGTGGCTTTTGGTAATGGGATATTTGTGACCTCGTGCTTCTCGGTCCTTTTTCTTCTCAGACGCTTTTGCGAGTGTGAGTTACCATTGTGATTACCTTCGAAGGCAGTGTCCGCGTCGCGCTTTGTAGTCTGGGACATGCTGAGACTCACGTTTGCGGACGAGCAAATTGTCGCACGCATGCACAAATGTCTGCGGTGTGTAGCGAGATCAAATCAGAAACTTTTTTTCTCCGCACGAAGTGAATGGAAGGTTTTCCGATGTAATCACGTGTTGATGGGATGCGGAGAAAGAATTTCTGCGACTTTTCGAAGATCGAGAGCCGTCCTTCATGACCGGAACAGCCATATCGACCTCGCTGAAACTTCATCTCCCTGAGTCAATTTGTGCCTTCTGTACTACCCAAGGCCAAAATGATTATTCCCATACGGTGTTTCTCCTGCGGGAAGGTATTGCACCTGTCGACTCCAACCTAGGTGTTGAGGACCGCCACTGACTCTAATGCTTCTTTCAGGTCATCGCAGATATTTGGGAACGATACATGAAGTTGCTTGAGGGTGGCATGCCCGACGGGTTAGTATCTTTGACCTTGGCTTCTTTCTCCCGAACAAGGCTTAACTATTTGTTTCTTTCACGTTATAGTGAAGCGATGGATCAAGTCGGCGCGAAACGATACTGCTGCCGGCGCATGCTGATGACACACGTCGATCTGATTGAGAAGTTGCTACAGTATGTTGGAGATATTTGCTTTGCCGAAGATGACGATGGGAAAGACGACTATTCGAATAGCATGGCTGACAAGGTATCGAATAGATACGACCCTTCCGAACGACGAATTAAGACCCAACCATGAGATAACGAAACAAAATCATATTCGACTCCAAAAACAATCGGTGTTTCTTAGAACGATCAGAATACCACATGCGCAAGCGTTTTCGCAGGGCTATGGCGATGGCACTTACGACCTCGGTCACGGCGCTCCGAAGGACTAACAGGTGTGGAATGCTATTCGTGGTCCAACCTAAGATGAACCGCGTGGAGCTCAATACAAATATTTAAAACAAGTTCAATTCGGCTTAAAGCCATTATCATGTACCGATGGGAGTATGTTGCAGGAGCAACAAGGTGCGGAGCGATACCAAGGGGTTTTCAGGCACACTAGTGGAAAAGAAGCCCGAATGTTTGTGATGCAAGATACCTTGTGCCATTGAGCAGCTGCGGTCAGACTTGACTGTAGGGTCTCCATATGCTCCACCAACATATGACCTCCAATGGGCTACCGTCTCGCTGGTACCAATCATCAAATCCAAGATCTGTCCCTTCGACAATCAACTCGAACCTCTGCTGTTGCAACAAATCCCGCAAATTTTTTCTTTCCTCGTCGTAGCGGTCCCGTAGCGGAAGTTCAACGACAAGCCTAGCCTCTGGTAAGCCACGAATCCAGCGGCTGACGGTATTCACAAGCATCTTTGGGTGTTCCGCTGAATAGATAGGATCAGCTACAACAATCACCATAAATTTGTCTTCGTTGCGTTGCGGCGTGTCCATCTCATCAGCCCAGTCAAGTGCCCGGGACTCAGTGCTTCCGCCGCTCACTGTGATCAAGTCCCGGTTCTGCTCAAGATTTCGCCGAAGGTTAGGTAGGATCTCGGGCAGATCAGTCAGAACAACGTGTGTTTTCCATATGCAAGCAGCTGAGATCCCCACAAGACCAGTACCTGCACCCAGCTCCAACACTTGGGGGACTTCTTTGGGGATGTATTTACGGCATTGTTGGAGCCGACGCGACAGTAAGACCGAGGAGGTCCAGGTTTTAAGCCCAAGATTGTCTTGTGTCAAGGTAGGCTCGTGCAAATTGACTGTGAGGCCGTCAATAATCTCGAATGACCGCGTCATTGAAGGCATTGCATTTCTTCCCGAACGTTCACTTAGCCGTGCACTTGCAGCGCTCCATATCGAATCTCTGAGGCCTTCGTCCTCAATCCAACCTAGGCCCGACGAGACAATTGATGTGAGATATCTTGGAACGCCCTGTTCCGCCACTTTGGGACGGCTGGCGTTCCCCGAAAGTGAAAAGCTCGGCGCTCCTGCCGAGAGCAGATCCAAAACATGAAGGAGGGCGGATGCTGACGGTCTTTGATAGAGCTGCGGTAAATCATGCACTGCATCATCCCAGGTTGGAAAACGAATCATCAAAGACTTAAGGAGGATCATGACGAGAGATCCATATTTTGACCTACCATGGAGCACTTCTGGTACCTGAGGTACCTGAGCAGCTAGTTCATTTTTGGAAACAGGCATTTCAGGAGCGCCACTGCCACCGGCCATGCGCGTGCAATTCCTCGGTAGATGGACAAGGCTCCTATGACTGTGGATTGAAATGTGATGTTGGAGGGCTGAAGCTCATCACCGGAAGCGCGAGGACTAAAATGGCGCGATGGGAAAACTGATCACTTTTTTGTGTGGGTGCTTCCTGTTGTTGAAAAGCTCAATCGTGCCGTGCTGCGAAGAAGGTCGATCATTTGCCTTGCTCGAGGGATGGTGGGATTTCCAAGAGATGGTGGGAAGCGGATTGTGGTGGAAATTGGACCAGGACGAAAACGTTCCTGCGGATCTGCTAAGGAAAAAACAGGTGACATGGTTGGCTAGCACTGTGTCTTGGCATTTCGCCTTGGCACTCTAGCCGCTGCTTGGTGCTCAACGCTAAACCTAAAATCCGACATCTCCTTTCTCCTCCATCTTGCATCGGAGAGAAAATTCAACCCTTGACGGCCACAGCTGACTGCGGGTTCACCTATCAAATGCTCCTAGAGTAACTTTGAATGGCAACTATCGTCCTTCTATTTCAGGACTTTAGAGTCTCCATGGCAAATATGCTGCAGCAGAGGTCGCTCTGAAACAAACGAGTTTTGGGTGGGCAAAATTCCCTCTTCTAGCCTTTTTGGGGTGCCACACCAAACACACCGCAATCCCTGTTTGGCACCCCTCATTCTACCAGCACCAATTTCCCCCACCCCTGACCGCGAGGGAAGTTGCCCTGCCCGGATTATCTGTCTCCCCAGTAAAATTCTTGATCCTCACACGCATATGCGCGTCGAAAATGGTAAATATGACAAAGGCAATCCTGCCAGAGATGGTGATCAAACTGGAGGATCGCCGACGGGGAATCCAAAAACAGCGGCCAACCGAGATGGTGAGAACATGTCCGTCACGCCACAAGGCTGCGTCGAGTTGCACAAGAGAACGTAGAGGCGCTGATGCTGGTGATCCAACCTGTTGGTGGGCTTAAGTCTAGAAAAGTCTAACAAGTACACGCTGTACGAGGCACTCGGTATGGAGTACGGAGTAACCCGACCCATATGAATGTATCGAATGTGCCACAATCGCAACAGCGGCGACACAGCCCGGCCGAAAACAGACGCCAAGTGACCGCATGCATCCTGGCGCCAGAGCAGGCTTCGATGGCTTTAAGCCGCATGGCCGCCAAGATCGACCAGTGATTGGCCTTATAAATTTCCAGTTTCGGCCTGGCGGCCTTATTGTTTGAGCCACGCGAACCGACGGTCCCACATCCAGGCAAGCCCCGATTCCATCTCCTGAAATATCTCCACCCATTGTCGGTGGTACCCCTGACCCGGGATTGAGGAATTGCAACAGAGAAAAGCATTTCTGCATATGACTCTCTGATGTACCGTCGCAGTCGAGACCTGACGCGTGAATTCGGATCAAACTAGCTGCCACTATCCTACTCCCTGTAGGATGACCAGGAGGTAAAACTTCCTACCTTCTCGTGGCTGACAATGCATTGGTCAACCTCAACAGCAATTTGCCTGTCGCAAGCTGCCATTGGATCCCGGTCTATCACCTCCACAAAGTTTTAAGGCTCAGCGCTACCCACGGAAACCTGGATCTGTCGAGACCTGGATCTGTCGGCCTCTTCGCCCGGGACTGGTGTTCCCTGGGAGCACCTCCTTTTTCAGAATATCTCACCCGTCTAAAGCTTCGCTTGTTAAATTAGCTTACTGATTTCACACTACGGTCAGAGTCTCAGGCCGCCCTCGTGGCTGGCTGGGGTCATTGAGCACCGAAAGTGTCCTAGTCAACCACTCCACCATGGCGCGAGTCGCGACGGCAGGGCTCAGCATAAGTACCTCTCCCATCTCCCTCTTGTCCACGCCGTCCATTTTTTCTTCCCCAGCTCGTTACAACACCTCGCGACTTCGATTGACTTTTCAATCATCCACTCTTTTTTGAGCTCGTTATTGCTTTCATAGGGTCTTTGACCTGTTCCACTCGTTTTAACACTCGCAATCATTCAAATACTCTACTATGCAATTCTTGTCCGTCGCCTTGCCGCTGGCAGCTTTGGCCAGTGGCGTCTACGCTAATCCTGTCCATGGCGGTTCTTGCGTCCACAACGCTTGCTTGGCCGCTGTCACCGGCAAGGCCGCCCTGGGAGATGGCTCGCTCAGAGCCTCTCACTGCTCCAGCTTCCTGGCTACAACAGTGACTCCCATCGTCACCGTCACTGAGACCATCACCGGACACGGAAAGGACAACTGGAAGCGCGCCACCGTTGCGCTCTGCCCGAACGAAGTTCCCAACTACGCCAGCGCTTGCGACGAGGCTGCCTATACCAGCGCGTGCTCATGCTTTGGTTACACCGAGGTGAAGACTACCACAGTGGCGCCAACCACCACCACCAAAACGATTTGGGTTAAGCCCACCGCTGGCTCCGGCTCAAGCTGCACAGCCTCGACCTTGTACAGCACCGTCACCGGCACAACCACTGTCGTGAGCGGTAGCACTTGCCCAGCTGTCACCGCCACGACTGTGACTCAGACCTCTATCAAGACCATCCCAACTTACAGCTCGTGCCCCGTGGCTAGCACCGTCACGAAGCCTGGCAGCACCTGCTCCGAAACCACGAAGACCGTGTACACCGGTGACGTCACTGCGACTACCGTCACTGTCACTAATACTGCCACCGTTACTTCTAGCCCCAGCGGCACCAGTCCGGGTACCCCATCGTCTTGCAATGTGGATGATGCTTTGGCCACTACCCTCGTCAACAACTTTGTGATCTTGCTCGAATACACCTCGTACAACGGCACCCAGGGACCACCTGGCCGTGGCTACCAACAGAATGTCTCCGATGCTACTTTGGCATCCGATTTCAGCGATATCTCCGACTCGATCAACTTCATGGCCGGCTTCCCTGTAAGTTTTCAACCTGTATTGTGTTCTTGTTCTCTCATTAACAAATTTGCGTAGCTTGGCTCAGTTACTTTCCCCAGCAAGCAAGCTTTCGACTACGGCCAGGGTGTTCTCCAGCCTGAGGTTGCTGTTACTGTTCTTAACATCTGGCATGACTGCAACTCCATCACCTGGAGATGGAGAATCACGTCGACCGCACTCCCTGTCAACGGTATCAACCACATGATCATTGACAGCGACGGCAAGATCCAGAAGAACTACGCTGAGTTCGACAACGGCGCATGGCTCCAATCTTTCGGTCGACAGTGCGCCATCAACCCTCCCAGTGTGGCTAGCTCCGCTGCCCTCAGGGCCCGTGCTCTCGGCCTGGGCATGTAAACGACGCGAGACCCAAGGGAGAGAAGGGGTTCATGTTCAGAGAAGATGGAGATGGGCAGGCGTTTGATATTCCAAGGTCATAGAAGACAAGTCAATTGCAATGCACATGTAGGATTTCAGGCGGAGGAAGAGGGTATTACACAAGCTAGGAGGGCTGTTCGTTTCCTTGTTCCCATGGTTCCCACATCTTCGGGGCGATTTGAAATGATCGATGAGAGCATCGCTTTTGCATGTTTCTTGACGGACTAATGAATTGCATGGCATGATCTGGCTAGAGTATATTCCGGACTGTACATTTGCGAATTCCTTGGGCCGAACTTGAACTCCAAACTGTACATTCTGCCATCCGTCAAAGCGGCTCTGAAGATAGGAGACAATGGTACATGAGGGTATCCTGTATATTTGTCCAATGCGAAGTGAATTTTGTTTAGGGCTCCAACTTGATATTGAATGGTTAAAAGTCAATCCTGTGCCGATCTCCGACCACGAAATTCTATGTTTGGATCCCATATCCACCGATTCCACCGTCACGAAGCAGCATCCACGGACAAGTCAGACAGACATTTTCCCTGCCAACATTTCTTGTCATACTGCAACCTGCCAAGTGTGCCCTCTTCTGCGCTACTGTACGAGGCTGCTCCGCAATCAGATAGGCCTCCCCGCAGGATTTCCTCCTCCAAAATTACGGGTAGTATATCGAGGACGCTCGGGACGCCGCGGCCTCCCTTTGCAGGCTCCTCTTCACGACTCATTCCTAAACCTAACCATCGCAAGGATCGCCAAATTTGAGGGTGATATTCGTCTTGGATCCCGTAGGGTTGCGGGTGAGTGACCTTGAGGCCTGAGACAAGAGAATCCGCGTGGCATCGTCTCTCCTCCACAAATACGAGCATCAAATTCCCGATCATGAACCCAAAGCCCCTATCCTCAGCCTCGACCTACACTCAAGGCCACAGCGCGGCCGTGGTGGCATCACACGCGTCGCGTACGGTGGAAAACTCTGCAGCGTTCCTGCTTCCTCATCTCCAGCCGCATTTCACGGTTGTGGATCTGGGATGCGGCCCGGGGACGATCACGAAGGGCTTTTGCCCCCATGTGCCCGACGGGTCGGTGATTGGGATTGACGCCGCAGACTCGGTCATCGAGCTCGCCCGCGCCGGCGCCTCGGAGAAAGAGTATCCTAACCTCAGGTTCTGCGTGGGAGACATCACGGCCCGACTGCCGCTGGACGACAACTCTGTCAACGTCGTCTACACCAGCCAGGTGCTCTACCACATCCCCGCGCCCGTGCGCGTCATCAAGGAAGCCCTCCGCGTGCTGAAACCCGGCGGCATGCTCGCCATGCGCGAGACGGACACACTGATCTACCACCCCGCCAACCCCGGGACCGAAGCGTTCACGGCAACCATGGCCAGGGCAGTCTCCCCGGGTGCCCAGGGCATCGGGTCCGGGCGACGGATTCACCTCTGGGCGCAAGAGGCCGGGTTCGAGCGGTCGAAGATGCAAGTCCGCGCCGGCGCGACCTGCCACCCGGCGCCCGACGAGTCGAGATGGTGGGCGAACATCCAGGTCGAGCGGCTCCAAGGTGAGATCGGGCGGAAGTGGTTGGAAGAGCTGAAGATCGTGCACAACCAGGCCGAGATCGATACCATGGTCGCCGGCTTGAAGGCCTGGGGAGACAGCCCCGAGGCGTGGTATGTCGCGGTTCAGGGAGAGGTCATCTGTTGGAAATGAGTCGGATGACAGCAGGGACATCCAGGCTGGCGCTTGATGGACCCGTGACGACCCATTTCTCAATACGGAGGCTCACCGGCACGTTTTAAGGTCATAGGCAGCGGTAGGACCCCGGAGTCGAAATCGATGCGGGTTCATCGAGAAGCATCACGAACCGAAAAGCTCAACACGTCTAGGTCAAATCTCGTTGACAGAGCCGCATTAAAAGTTCTAACGATTCATATTCTCAAAATACCGCAGATCCCACCACCCTTGCCGTCCTGCACGATCACCACCTTCCCCTCCCCTAGGCTGGCCCGTCTATCACTATGCCGTGGGACTTGGAAACGCGCCTTTTCCCCGCGCTCAAGGGACCCCATTCTTCGCACGTCCCTGACGACGTTGAGATGTGGGAGTGTGCGACCTGCATTCTCGCCGCGCGGGATATGTACATCTTGTGATGTGGGTATGTATGCTATTTCCCATACCTCGAGATGTTGGGCGGCAGATTGCGAGTATGACGGTGGGAGGTTCGTCGCGTCTATTTCGAGTACCGGCTCTCCGCCTTCTGGCCCTTCTAATAGACTCTTGACACTCACCTTTTCTCTCGCGCCCGCGGACTTTTGTCCGTCCCGTAGAATCCGCTCGAAATCTCCCCTAGTATTACCTACGCCGACGCCTCGCCCATTCACCACCACCATCGGAGTGTACGCCCCGCGCAAACCCATCCGTCTCACATATTCTCGCTGCCGGATGTCATTGATGGGTAAGCTGAAAGTGTCTTCCCAGCCCAGATAGTTCCAGTACGTTACTTGGTATGTGAGCAACAAGTACTCGGGTCCGGGAGACGAATTTGAGACGGCTGTTGGAGAAGAAGACGGGGACCGACTCGCGTAAAACCGCGGCGGAGATGGAGATTGTTGTGAGGACTGGTGGGATTGGACGAACGAGATGAGATTGTCGTTCGTGGGAGGGCAGGAATTGCAGCCTTGGGACTGGAAAAGTTCGATGAGGATGGGTTGTTCCAACGAGGTTGGTGATTGAGCAGCAGAGAAGCTCTCTGTGGTGTTGCCGGTGATGTCGGCGTGCTTCAATACGGCATCAGGGCGATGGAGCGATTCAGGAGTGGGAGAACGGAAGGATTTGAACAGCGACTTTACTTCTTTGGTGAGAGTGCGTGCCATGATGGGACGAGATGTCACACCTGAGCGTGCTGTCGTGGAAAATGCCAGATGACTCTCGTTTGGAGTCGGTCGGTCAGTCAGTCAGTCAGTCGACTTGGGGTGATGCGGGAACCGGCTTGAACCAGCTGATCCCACTGGACGAGGCTCATGGAGGGTTATATACATGATTGCGAAGAGGGTATGCGTCGACCGTGGTCGTCATCAGCATCAGCTTAATCATTAATGGACTCACCCGGCAAGAGTGCGAATCGGGCCAATGCCACAAGAGGGGGCTGTGGAGGGTGAGGGTCTCTCGCTTCGACTGTGATCCCGTAATACAGGTATGGACAGGGTCAGTGGGAGGAATGAGGCCGTGGAGCCGCCGAGTGCGTGTCGCGTACCTGCGTCGTGTTCATCGTCGGCCCGCATTCGAGGCGCAGGCGATGAGAGGACCCGGATGGCCTAATGGTACCCTGTGCGTACTGCCAAGCTACTCTGCTGATTCCATCATCCAGCCATCATGTCTTCCTGTTCAATTGCCTGTGCATCTCCATCCTCGGATACATTCATCCAGGATGCCTTTAATTGATTTCTTCCCTCCGGCATACCTCGTCGCCCTGACCAAGGGGAATGAGGAACACGGTCACGTGTGACGCCGTGGAACCTGCCTATCCGGTCGCTTTGCACTCCTTTCATCTTCTCCCTCATCAATACTGGGTATTTACCTGCTTCTGCATTTCATCTCGTATCTGCTTGTCTTTACCGGACTCGCCCATACTAGACTCTGCCATGGACACCTGTCGAAAAGTCAGGCTGTGGGCATTGATCCCTCACTCAGCCCAAGAACCGTGGCGAAAAGTGCTGCACACCTGATTTGTCTTCACGGACAACCGACGAGAAGGAGGCGCGACCAGCGTGACCTCCTGCAGCGCCCCTGGTCCGATGCAGCCAAATCGCTGCTTGCCCGCAGTATGCATTGTTCCAGCCTCAAACGCCTAGCGACTCCGCCTTGCAATGCACGTGTGTGCCAGCTGTCTGCCAACGTGGTATGCTGCCTGATTGACTCCATCCAGCCTCACAGCGCACCTTTCTCTCATGAAGAAGGCTTCCTCATCTCCTAAAAAAGCACAGGACGACGGAGGCTTCTCCATAGCAATCGAAATGTGTCAAATGTTTGGAAAAGTGACCAATGCTGTGGTATCTGGAACTAACGAAAATTCCTTTCCACTGGCCCGCCTGAACCTTTGCTATTCTCTGGTCAAGCTTGAGGCACCCGCTGAGTTCCATCCTCTTGGTTCTGCGTTATCACTTCAGTGACGACAAATAGCTGAGGTGGGATCTCGCCATCAGACCGCTCGTTTGCTCGGTGCATTGTTCTCTCAAATTGCCCCAAATGCTCCCAAGCTCCTTCAAGCTTTCGGTCAAAGAGTCTCAGAGATCATCAATTCTCCTGATGCGAATCCCACGGGTACGCTCGAAGTCGTCCGTTCAAAGATTCTGTCGGCGCAGATGCTACCTCTATCTGGGCAGCTGCGACGTCAGGCTCTGCATCATTTGCGGTGTTGTTGTTGGCATGCTTGTGGGCTAGAAAGTTCGACGATCCCAAACTGAGCGTCGCCTTTTGGGTAGAAATAGTGGTAATCCGCCAGGAGGAAAGTGCTCGCGACCGCGCAATCAACGGGATTCGCCATGAACGAGACAGTTGTTGCAGCTCACCAAAGGATATTACGCGAAGACTTGGCCACCTTCGATGCAAGTGTCCGAGCTTGGCTCATCACTGCTGACCAGGTAATGGTCAAAAAAATTGAAGCGACTTACCCTGATCTTGGACAACCTCACTACTCTATCGGTCAGCGTTGGCAAAAACACATACGCAAAGATCATCAATGCCTGGGATGGAGCAATCAAAGGTTTCGAAGCTCTACTAGAAGGGAAACAGCAGAATGCTACTGACAGCTCCGTCTTGCTGACTTTGTCAGCCTGGCACCTGTACTCTGATCTCATCGTCCTGTCCTCAAAGACCAAAAAGGTGATCTTCTAGGACCCATTGTATCCTCCCTCTGTCCTATGACCGTGGGTTTATCGCTTACAGACACCGGTGAAGCATCTCCAGGGTTTCAATGGTCCCTGGCTCTTTCTCATCTCAGATACTATGGTGAGCCGGTCAGTGTTCAGACGGATCATGACCAAAATGGACGGAACTTTGCCTTATTGCGTTTGGATCTTTACTTGCGCACTGGCATCTGCCGGTCAGCATCACAAATGACCTTGCCTCCTGGTTTGCTGCCGTCGACAGTCTGCTGCACAGACATTATAGCAATATGCCATTGGCCGAGTATGACCGGTTCTTCACCTGGTTACAACCTCTGGTAAGGGCGTCAAGCCTGCTGGTGAACCGGTCTGAGAATGAATCCGCGGACTATGAGGAACTCGTTCGTTACGGTCGCAGGCGCTGCAAATACCTTCTCGGAGGTTCTCGGATGGAATTTGAAAACAGACCTTTTTTCGGGTTATGCATTCCATACTACGTTACGCGTGGTCTGGCAACACCTTCTGGGTTAGAAGAATACCTTCAATCTCTCCGATCAGTAGCGGAAAGCTCCCGCTTTGTAACATTCTCCGTCATTCGGTACTGCAAGACAATTGCAGACACGGAGGTGGTTGTTTTAGCTACCGCCACTCCCTACACCTGGCCGCTGGATCAACGCGCTGCAACTGACGGATGTAAACCGCAAAAGTTCCATGCACGGTCGGTGGCAGAGTCGCTTATTTTTGAAGAAGTGGTGTGAGTTGGGTTTGATATCTCCCGGTGATGCGCTGTGCGTTGTAGCGGGTAGTTCTAGAACTGACTTTTCAGACTTGACGTCTTTCAGAAGGAGAAGGACATTCCATGGGGGAGAGGAATACGCACCAGCCGCATACACCACCATCAGATCTCTTCATTGCTTAGCGGTAATGTCGCAGCTTTATGCACAGTTCCCCTCTGCAACGTTTCCCATCAAAACCGCGGAGAAGCAATTCGATTTCTTCGAGCCCGCTCTAGTTAGGGACATTCTGAGTGGGAGGTGGCGTCATTGGAACGAGATCTCAAGAACGGATGCACTAGCTAGAATTTGCATGATGGAAGCGAGAGGCATCTCAATTGATACCTCCTTATTCGACCGTGCATTTGCAATAGCTACCGGCAACTCCATCTTCGTTGCAGAATCGCTCCTTTCGGACCCGTCACGACACTTACCCGGGTATGCAGTTCGGAGGATTGTCGGCAATCTTGGCCGACCTGGGATTTCTATCCTGGTCAGCCCAGAAACTGTGATGGTCAAGGAGCAGACAAGGGACTTTCGAGCAGGAGAACATGCCCCGTACGATAACAGACGAGAAGATAACTTCCGTGGAACTTCGCTGCACCTTTCGCCGGCGGAATGGAAGGTGCCCATTGTTCTGGCCAGCGAGATTGTCGGCAATATCGATCAGGATATTTTCCGGCTCGAAGCGATTGTATCGGTACACGACAGAGGTCGCTGGTATGGAGACATCGACAGAGTCTCAGCTCTTGAAGCCCGAGGCCACCTTTCATATACAAACGATGGGTGCTCGTGCAGGGGTAGACAGTGGCGGTTCCAGGCGGAGTCCACCGGTATCGACAACTTTGAGGAGCTGTTAGACCCCCCAGATACTGTGGGCATATTCCGAGCACACAAAAACTGGCCAGCTAGGTTGGCTGCGACCTGTATAGCAACGCAGACAGTGGGTGCGTCTAGGGTATGCATATTGCGCAACGACGAGGTGTGCTGAGGATGCCTTGAGCCAGAGATTGCGTCAGCGACTGAACAGTGTCGCCACGAAATAACAGCTTACGCAGATGACGATTCGGAGTTTGGTCCTGAAGAAGGAGATGGTGAGGCTTGGGAAGGACAATCTGACCCTAAAGAGGACGATGATGTCTTTATCATCATTGACTGAGGTGTGAACATTGCACTGGAGGTTTGAAGGGAAATCATGTAGGGCCGAGATTTTGCTGTTGGAGCCCGTAAGGAAGCAGCCAGGCGCCAGGCTGAGTATCTGTTGAAAGACTAGGTAATATTAGCCGTGGGTTGGCCACGTATGCGGAATGTGACATGTGGAGACATGGAGATGGATGGCGAGCAGGCAACGAACAATGAAGATACAATACATGAGGGAAACAGCTTGTCTTCCCCGTCTCTCGGTCTGGATTTGTCCTCTTCATGGGTCTGGAGCAATCCTCGTACCCAGCTACCCTACCTAGGTATGTATGTGCCTACGCCAGATATGAAAGACTTACCCACTGCTCACAGGCGGTATAATCCCAACCTCATCGCCCGGATTAATCACCAGATCCATCCCCGTCTTGCTCTCACCCTCGCCCTCCCCATCTCTCTCATCACCGCCCTCGACCTCGTCGGGGTCGAAATCGACATACTCCAAATTCACCGTCACCGCCGCGCTGCGGAGCACGGCGTGGCTTATGCCGGGGAATCGCGTCTCGAGAGTGCGGAAGACAGCTCCCAGGGTCGTGGGGGCGCGCAGGTGCAGCGTCTCCAGACCGCCTGTGAAGGTGCTGGCTGCGGCGAAGAGGAGGAGCGTGAATGTTCCTGTCCCCGTTCCCTCTCCCCGGTCGGTGGCTGGGGCTGTCATTGCGTCGGGAGCAAGGGGATTTTGTTGGGCGGCGCCGGTGGTGTGTGGCGCCGGTGTTGAGGACATGTTTGCTCGTTCGCCCTTTTGCTCACTCTTTTGCCCACTCGCTTGCTTCCCGGTGGTGGTGGTGCTGCTGGTGTGCCGTCTCCAAAGTCTTTGTCACACACACGAAACCCCCGACCAATCGACCCGACCAGATAACCAAAGAACCGCCAAAAGATAGTCGGTCGGTATTCCCTTTTCAGAGGGTCCTTCTCTCTCTTGGAGTTCGACCGTGCGTGGTCGTTAGTGTTGTGTAGTGTCGTCACTTTAGGTGTCGTGTGATGGCGTATGGCGTAGTGTTGTATATCAACGACAAGACCGAGTCCCAGAGTGTCTTGTTTCTTCCTTTTCGTCGTCCCCTTTTGACTCTCTTTCCTCTCTTCGCCCCAGAGGTCCTTCTTTTGCTTTTCCTTCCCTTGCTTATTCTTTTGAATGTTCTCTCTAAGCTACAATATCTGCCTTCCCCTCCCTTTTCCTTCTCCTTTCTTCTCTCTTTACTCAGTCTACCGTACCTGACTTATTCTCCCCCCTCGTTTTTTGATACCGCTCGCTTTTTCTCCCTTCCTCCTCCACACGAGGATTTTTTCCCTCACTGATACCCTTTCTCTTCCGTTTCCTCTCTATCGCCCGCCCGGTCTGGGTGTCAGCGACGGTCCAGGCCCTTTGCTTCAGACAGATTAGATGCAAACAACGCAGTCCGAGAATTTTCGTTGGGACAAAGAAGATGCCAAGATAAGCATCCCCCTAAACAGGCGGGACAAGAGAAGGGAACAGGGATTCACTGCCGCCTCTACATAATAAGCCAAGGATCCCTGATGTTCAAATGATTGCCGCCTCGTCCCGGAGAAAAAGAAACCACGGAAAAATCGGAGCGACATAGTTTCTCCGGGACTTAATCATTGACGCGGAGAAACACGCTCCAGAGAAAAAGGGGCCGGATACCAGATCGCCAGTTTAACTTCCCCACACTCTTAAAGTCAATGACATCACACTGTTCATGTCAGTGCTCTCGTTGTCTTTGTTGTGAATTACCAATTAGTACCTCGCCCCCAGTCTAGCACATAAAGAACACTCCCTACAGCCTCCTTCCATGAATCAATGCCATGAGACTACCCGGCCATTGGTATGAGCTACGAAGCCACCTGCCAAACCCATTGGCCCAAGTCATTCTGTTTCCGCTTTCTGCTCGAGAATTCTGTCTTGGCCTCGCCCTCTTGGGAAGTAGGAGGATGAGATCATCTCTCGTCTCAGCATCGCCCCCTCACCATGCAAAACCCCACAATCGCTATGTCATTGTACATATTGTCGAAGCATGATGGTCGTCCAATGCAACATCTGTACCGTAGGAAATGCACGCCGACACAACACTCATCTAGTGCTCAAGCAGTCTCAACGATCCCTGCACCACCACGTTCTCCAAGATCGAACCGGGTGGAATGTCGATGGTGCTGTTCTCGGTAGCCACAATGATGACGGTTCCTGTAGTTAAAATCGTCAGTAATGCCAAGTCGATCAAAAATGCGCGTCGTGTATAGAGAACTCACCCTTGAGGACGATTCCGCGGCCAAAGTTGACATCGCCAGTAACCGTCAAATGATCGAGCTCGACAATGTTGGGAATGCTGCTGATCCTCTTCTGGAACTGCGCAACCTTCTTGAAATCGCTGCCCAATTTGATCAAGGGTGCAGGCCCGAATCGGTTGGGGTCCATGACCAACTGGCCATGCGACAAGGTGTACAGGTTAGATTTGACCAACATCAGATCCGAGCAAGTCTTGACCGGCAAAAACCGTCGTCGCGGGACATTGACGCCGTGCGAGTTTTTGAAGTGCTTGATCGCAGCGCCGACAGCAGTCTCGAGTTGGATGATGGAAATGTCAGCCTCGCCCTTCTTATCGGCCGGAATTGACTTCTCGTTAGGGATGATTTCCATTTCCAACTCGTTGTTTTCAACCACCCGCTTGACCGCGCGCAGGTTCATCCAGATGTTGTTGGTGTTGAAGTACTTGAACTTTTTAATCGACTTGAACTCGTTGACATATTGCTTGGGGACTTGGGCAATTTCCAGTAGTCGCGCGCGGCCCTCGTAGTCGATGATGGTACCACCCTTGACGTCGGCCTTGGTCTTGTCGGTCAATTCCATGATGTACTCAGCCTTGGTCTCGACCATGTGCTGTAAGATGCGTAGATCCACCACGGCGCCCAGGTTGTCGGCATTGGACAAGAAAATAATCTCAATACCGCGGTCCAGGAGCTGGTCAAGAATGCCACTGTTGTAGAGACTCTCAAAGACGTCACCGTGGCCCGGAGGATACCAGTCGGACAATTGAGAGTCATATGATTTGGGTGCCGGCAGCAGGGAGTCCTTCAACACCCGGGGGTATCGAGATTGGTTGAACGTGAGGATGTCAATGTTATGGCCTTCGTATTTCTTGATGATGGATGCAGTGTCTTCGTCGGTGTTGAAGCTGTTCATCAAAACAAATGGGACGTTCACGTCGTAGGTACGGTTGAGGTACTCGATCTGGCGGACCGAAAGATCGAGGAAGGACATGCCATCTCTGACCTCAATGACGGATTTGGGGCCGACGCAGCCCATCGAAGTACCCAGACCACCATTGAGCTTGACGACTGCGAGCTTGTTCAAGAACTCGACTGCGTCACTGTTGGGGAGCTCATCGTAGGCCACGACCTGATCGGGATTGGGAGGATTGATTTTTGCCCAGTCAATGGTGTTGCCCTTGGCTCGGTCATTGAGGTATCTTCTGAACAGGGAGAAAAAGTTGTCCATTTCTGCCTCGAATCTCTTCTTTTCGGCCGGGTCTTTCACCGTGTCTGCAAGGTTGTTGAGGGCATTGCGCATTTGGCTGGCAGCCACATTGGTCGAGGTGTTCTCAAAGGCCTGCATGGCGGGGGATTTGATTAGCAGAGGCTCTGACTGATGATGGGTGCGGGTGGGAGAAAGAGAAGAGGTGAGCAACTCAATCGGCGCTGGAGGTTCCAGTAGCGGCATTTTGAACAAGGGAAGGTGCAGAAGTCCAAAAAGAAAAGTGGCACAAGCAAAGAACGGTTCAAGGGGACTTTCAAGGGCAGCAGGGCAAGGTGCACCATATATGGAGATGACGAGTCCCAAACAGTGGTGGACGTCCCATTTCAACATGGACCGGATGAACCAGCACCGTGATCTCGCAGGATTTATCTGCAGACGTGTCGGCGGGCGACCAAAACGGGTTTCCGGGGTATGCGAGAGAAGGTCCGTGCGCCGTGGGAGGAGAAGTGTCATTGGCATGTCCGACACTGGCTGGAAGTGATGTGATACGAAGCGCAGGAACAGCAATCAAGAAATGTGTTGCTCACCACATGAGACTGTGTCTTGCCATGATGTCTCTTTTCCGCCGGGGCTGGGCCGTTGGAGCCATTGGCAGATGCTCCGTGGGGCCGGAGATGAGATGGGATTGCTTTGGAGGCCATGGCTGTGGCTGTAGCGGTCGCTGTCGCTGTTGTTCTCGCTTCTGATGCTGCTGCACCGTAGGAGACGAGATGAAACCAGGTGGAGGAGCGGGATTTGATCTGCAGACAGTCTCAGATCAATCTGGGAAGGACTGAGCTGCTTCTTGAGCTCTGCAGACAAATTAGCGCCAAGTTGATGGATTTGAGGTCAAGGTGAGGGCAAAGTGAAGAGAAGGAGAAAAAAAGGTCGGACAGAGCGGTGATGCAAAACTTGGAGATGGTGGGATAAAGTAAGAGGTAAAAATGCAAACAGCAAGCCTTAGCGAGAGCTCTGGCAACCCATGGCTCCTATGGCTCCTCTGGCACAACAGACGGTCAAGGCGACCCAGACATTTCATCACCTGCATGTGCTGTGGGCGAGCCTTTGGTGTGGACAGATGTGGATAGACAAGACCCTGACCGGGCGTGATGTAGTTGTGCAGCTGGATGGGAGCAACGCAGCAAATAATAACCAGCGGGTGAGAAGCTCCAAAGGTGGGTGCGTGGGCTGCTCTTGGGCTCCATGCAGAGAAAACCAGAGGACAGCGCGGGTGTAGGTACAGTAGCAATTGGGGATGGGCGTGGATAGTTTATCTGGCGGTCAAGATTCACCACTCACCGAGTCAACTCTTGTCAAAATATGTCTTTGTGGTCGATGTGGACGCTTCTGGACCGAGTAACCGTCTCCCTCTCCCTCCTCTCCCTCCTCGCGTCTCCCTCGTAAATATATGCACTTCTATCTACCTCCGACAACCCTCGATTTTGTTGGGCTCTGAC